CCAGCCCTTGCTCCGGGTAGCTGAGACCCCAGCAAGGGGAGGAGCCCCCTTCTCCCCCAAACCACGTGCTGAGCATCGAGGACCACATTTTGGAGCACGTCCCGTGTTTCAAACGGCCCAAGGAGAAAGTCGATCAGGAGAAGCTTGAGCATCCCGTTGGATTTCTCCCGGGAGAAGGCACCGTCTGCTGCCGCAGGAACACGGCAGGATGGGACTCAAGGGTCTGCAGGCCAGGGAAGGGTGATGGAAATGGGGCAAAAAAAGAAGATTTTGAGACACTGCTGGAAGCAAAGGGCTCTTAGGGGATTCTTTCTCCTTCTTGGTTTATCACCATATTCTCCGCCGGTTTTTCCTGAGCGCCTGGGACCTGAGGTGCTCCCGGGCTCGGCGTTGCGAACACATATTTCTGTATTCTCACATCTCTCCCAGCTAATCTTTAGGGAGAGGGGAATTGACAAACTGGTGAAAAACTGACTGACACTCCAATCAAAATACAAAAGAAACAGAAATAAATGGCTCTGAAAAGAATCGCTATTTAATTAGAAATTACATCTGTGCCAGTGAGTCACGGCGGGGAAGCGATACATCAGCGGGCTCGGCAGCGAAGGGCACCTGCCAGCAGCATGACAATGGGGACCAGTTCCATCCTGGGGCTGCGCCGGGAGATTTTGGGGGGGTGGGGATCCCCTGCTAAGCCTTGCCGAGCTGAGAGCCACCCTGCAGGAACCAGCCTGGCGCGATCCCGGAAAATAAAACGCCTGTGAGCCCGAAAGCTTTGCAGAGAAATCCCCTCCCAGCAGTTTTCCTGCCGGAAAGGGAAAATCCCCGGTAAATCAGATCTAAAGAAAAGCGTAAATAACGATTGCAGGACGAGGGAAGGAGAGAGATTGGGGGCCGGGAATAAAACTGCTTCTCTCCACCACGCTCCGGCCACGTCCCTTCAGCGAGGAAACCCCGACCCTCCATCAGTGGGGTACCAAAGCTGGGCAGCATCTGGGGATCCCCCCCAACTCCTCTGGGAGACCCCGAGGAAGGTGGGATGGGGTAGGAGAGGATGGCCGGTAGGGAGATGGGGGACATGCATCAGTCACAAGGGACATGAGATGCCGAGAGTGGGGTGGTCCATTACTCCCCTCCCCCAATACTGGGCTGTGATGGGAAGCGGCATCCTTGGGAGG